GTACAAAAGAAAAACAAAAATAATGTCAGGTAATTTTTTTATAAAAATATTTGCACATCACTCGAATTGTAAATTTGGACAAAAATTCAAAAAGGTCCATAAAAAATAAAGATAACATGAACAAATTAAAGGCTGTCAATACCATTTTGTAAATAAAACAACATTCATATGTGTACATCCAATCAACATTAAAATTCTATCAATATCAATGCATCACACTCAGAAAAATTTCATGAGTAATAGATGTATGATCCGTAGATTAAATTTTATCAATATAATAATTCTAACAATTGAAATAGATGTGTTATCAATCAATGCTTGCATTTGGATTTTATACCTTATATTGTAATAACTGGACAACATAAGTGAATATTTAATCAACCAAGTTAACTATTATGACTTGCAAGTTAGGTACATAAGTGATATTTAAATCTCTAACCGTGCTGCCTACTAATATGCCGCTTGCTCTGACAAGTTTGGATAAAGGGAAGGCAAGAGTAAAAGCATCATGGTGAGGTACTTGATCCCAACTAGGTTCGCACTAAATGTGTATCTTCAAGTTCAAAAGAAAAGGAGAGAATTAAAAAGGGGTTTCTCCTCATTTCTAGTCTTTGATTTGTTTAATTCTTCAAGTTCACTACTTGTCTAGCAATATTGTGCTATCATCATTTAACAAACCCCATGACAAAACAATGATTTTTCAAAAACCCAAGTGAAAAAATAAAGGTCAAATGATAATATAAAACGTAGAGAAAAACATGGCCATTAATGTTTCATGAAAGAAATGCCAATTCCTTGCCAAGCAAAGAGAAAAGGAACAATATCAACATATAGAAAACAACATCAACAATCCCAAATTGATCATATTATCTAAAATTAGAAACTTTAAGGACAAGATTAATGAAATTAATTAATAGTTTAAAGATGAATACAAAAATTAACCACACCATACACATAAAAATGAAATTAACCCTATTGAAAAATGTAAGAGGGTGGGAGGTATCACCTTCTCTGAAACTACTCTTGAATCTGCGAGGTACGTTGCGGAGGTACCTCATACGACCTGTCCTAGTTGTCTTCCTTCGGATTTGTAACGCCCTCAAAATAATACAATTAACCCAACTCATAAGAGAGATAAATCCAACATAAGTGGTATATTTTAATACATTAGAATTTGTGTTACAACAAGGAATACAAGCGTTATACATTCATAAATATTCATTCTAAATCTACAGCATGTAATACATATTAATAACAACAAAATAAATGTCCTACGGGCTTACATCTTCCCAAGATAATACTAGGTTACAACAAAATGATGAGTCCGAAGCTCAATACATATAAAGCCCCTTTGCTTGAATAAACATTGAACATAAATACAACAAAACATAGAGCCTTCAACCCCTAGTCCTCCCAAGCTACGTCCTTGGAGGAAGCATGACACCTATACCTGAAAAATGATTTCCCAAGTAGGGTGAGCCAAAACCCAGCAGAGATAAACTAACACAATATATGAGATTTAACTAAGATATAATGTCAGATAAAAGTCCAATACTCATGTTCAACTTACATTCTCCCCATCACCATTCAAAATTGATAATCGCATCTTAATCCACTTCCATTCATTCATTTCAAATCAATACATAAGTGTAATTTCTTATCATCTAAACAATTCTAAATCAGACTACAACTCATTCATTTACAATTCAACAACATTCATTATTCAAACACTTCAAACTTCTTGCCATTTTACGGACTCTCGTTCGAGGGAATCAGCACCCAAATATACACGTATAAGGTTTCGAGACTTTCACCCTGGACACTCCGACCAACTTAATTTAAAATGGAGTCCGTCCCCTATTTCCTCCCAAACAATGGAGTACATCTCTTATCTCCTCCTAAACAAAGATACATATACAATGTATTTAAAGATGTTGTCGTATACAATGACTATCCAAATCACATATTCAATGGTTTAATCAAACCGTCATATTCAATGACATAATCCAAATGATTAGTTTCAATTTACCTAATCCTCATGCAGTTTCTACAACAATCATAGCTATCCTCCACCGATAGCCCAAAACAAATATTTCTAAACAGATATATAATCCATCAAACAGATAATTTATCAAATTTTCATAGGTGAATGATTTATCAAATCCAACTACACCATTTACTCATACACTCCCCCAATTTCATATTTTCCTTATCAATTTCATTATTTATACAAAATAATTATTTAACATAAATTAGGGCAATTTTCCCCCCTTTTCCAAAACATAACCCCAAGGCCAAATTTTACCATTTTAACACTAGAGAGCTTCATACACAAGGTCCCATAGGCATTTTATAAACCAACATGGAAAACCCCTATTTAACCTTTGAAATTAAACCCTAACTTTACCCAAATCCTTCGAAATCCCACCATTATACAAAATGACAAATACCTAGGTTAAAAACCATAACAAGATGTAGAATATCTCTACCTCAAGTGTAGAAGCTCAAAGGAGATGAAGAAGAACTTCAAAAATGCAAAAAACCAAGCTTTGTTAAGATGGAATGGAAACCCACAAGATGCTCTAACTCTTTATCAAAGGAAGTAGGGTAGAAAGACCCTTAGATCATAGAGTATTTGTAGAGAGAGAGTGTTTTAGAGAGAGAGTGTGCCGGATTAGGGTTTTGGGATAAAAAGATGTAAAATTTCTGTGTAAAAATGAGCTGCTGCGAATTGATATACGCGACCTTCGCTCGAGCGAAGGAGTTGTCACTCGAGCCACCAGACACAACAAGTGACCTCGCTCGAGCGTAAGAAGCGTCGCTCGAGCGCATAATGCAAAGCTTCAGAAGTTTTATAGACGCACACGTTCGCTCGAGCGAAGAGCTTCACCTTCCCAGAAATTCTGCGTTTGGAAAAGAAACCTGAGAACTCTCAAATCTTGCTCGAGCGCAAGAAACCTCGCTCGAGCGAAGAAGCAAATTTTAAAAAGGCTCGCTCGAGCGCAAAAAGCCTCGCTCAAGCGAAGAAGCCAAAATCTGGGCAACAACAATCTAGACCAGCTAACAACCAACCTGTTCCAAACGAGCCCAATATGTTCCAAAACTCAAATTCAAAGAGTTAAAGGAGGAAAACAAAACATAGATACAATATTAAACCACAAAACCCGAGTTCGAAATGTAACAAAGGTTAGGTCAAAATTGGGATCGCTATAGGATTGCCTTCACACTCCAGTTATCTAAAAATATGCCCACATCATATCAATACAACCAACCAGTATATATATATATATATATATAGAGAGAGAGAGAGAGAGAAAGGGCTTATATGTCCTCTTACGAGCAGTAAGGAAAGAACAAGCAAAGCATAGGCTCTTTTGGAGATAAAAGCTGCGGCAGCCACACCTCACACAGAGGGTGTAGGTCTTGTTCCTTCTCTTACCAAAACTCCCTCTAGGTTCTCCTATTTCTATTCATCCACTTCTATACGCCCTTACACATATATTTGTATAAAGAGAGAGAGAGAGAGATGGAGGTTACCACTGTTGTGCAGTTGTAAGAACCCTAGACCTGTACGAGCTATTTTAGAGAAGAAGATAAATATATATGGTGAATAAGGTGAATGTGTGTAAGTTAAGAAGTTTAGTGTTGGATAAATGAATCTTGATAAGCTTCCAGATGAGCTTTAGCCTAGTTTCACTCAAAATGAACTAGAGGGAAATGGGGAAATAAAGAAACAGAGAGCGAGAGGGACAAAGATAAAGAGAATAAGAGAAATAGAGAGAGGAAGAGACAAACCTCAATGTTGAAGCGAAGTGAAGAGATGCGAGCAGCAGTGGTGATGTAATGATGCGCGATGATGGAAGATTGACGGTAAGTGACGGTGGAAGATTGACGATAAACGACAATGGAAGACCAACGGTGACTGTGAACGGCGAATCAGCGATGGTGAGTCAGAGAGAGAGAGAGAGTAAAAGACTGAACTTGTTTAGGTGTATGTACAGACTGATAGAAAAATATGAAAAAATAAAATAAAATAAATCATAATTAATAAATTGGGGGGTAATGTGAGAGTATTCCCACCAAAAAATAAATTTGTGTGTGTTTTGAAATTTTTTTAACTTTATTGCCGACTAACTATTTTTTGGTCACTAAAAAAAAGTATTTGCTGACCACATTTTTGGTCGGCAAAGATCAAAAGTAAAAAACTTCATTAATATTTGGCGACTAAATTTTTTAGTAGGCAAAAATTGGTATACAATGACTAAATTTTTATTTTGTCACAGAATATAAATATATGCTGACCAAAAGTTTGATCGCCAAAAATTAATAGCAATAATTATTCTAAATATTTGGCAACTAAATTAGTTAATAGGAAAAAATTGATAGACCACGACTAAATTTTTTTTGTCAAAGAAAATTCATATTTCACCAAAGATTAATTGCAAATATTATGTTGGTAATTTGGCGACTAAATTTCTTTTGAAACTGTTTGTATTCCTGTTTTGCTTCAAACTTGGGCGCCAATCTATATCACTAAAATTTTACACCTTTGGTGACTAAATTCACTTTGTGTCAAAAAATCTTAATTTACAACGACTAAAGTATTTGGTAGCCAAATCTGAAGTAACGGCAACTAAAATGTTAGTTGCCAAAAGTACCAATTTGACAACTAAATTTTTTTTGTCGAGAAAAATGAGTAAATGACGTCTAATTTTTTTTTATCTATGACCAAAATAGTTCAATAACAATTAAAACGGCATAGTTTTATTATCTGCGACCAAGATATTTTAGTCGCTAAAAATTTTTTCATTCCCGTTTTTTTTTGGTCTTCTATGTTCGACCTTTGCTTACCAAATTGAAATTTTGGTTTCAGAAAATTCTATTTTGGCAACTACAAAATATTAGTTGGCAAAACTCCAAACCTTTGCCTACTAAATTTTAATTTAGTCACCATATGAAAACTTTTTGCGACTAAATAAAAGTTGGTCCGCAAAATTGGTCTAGAAAAATGTAATTTCAGATGAACCTTTCCAATATTCTTTAGCCAAGGAATTCACTCCTCCAAATGAAGCCGCCGCCGCAACATCAAGCCCACCTCCAAGGGAAGTGAACAAAGCCGAGAAGCCAGCAGTGGAGGCTCCACCAGCTCCAATCCCCAGGCCAAGAAGATCAAGCGTGGTCGGCTTGTTCCCATAGAAGGACGGTGGGCCCATGATCAAATTAGTCAAACCGGAGGCGGCTCCATCGGTGTGGAGCCCTAGCCCTAGGCCAGCAGCTACCGATGACTTGCTCTCTGGCTTCACCACCACATGGCTGTTGTTCCATTGCCTAGCTGTTGCCGTGTCTTGATTGTCTACTGAAGATTGTAATTCCAAACCAAGCCCTCGAAGGAATGAGGAACTCGACCCTGTTGCCCCCATTTGTGCTGCTTTTTGAAGCAATGCAGTGGCTGATAAAGCAGCGGGTTGTTGAGTCGGAGTGTATTGGCGATGGTGGGATTGACTAGTGGTTGGAAATAGGGAGGAGGGATTGTTGTTGGAGAGATAGAGGGAAGAGGAGAGAGAGAGGGACATGGGTTGTTCTGTTTGGTGGTGCTCTGGACCAGCCATAGCACAGAGCATATCGGAGAATGAAGATGGTGATTGCGAAGGTTGTGAAACTCCTGACGGTGTTGATGATGCAAATATACTTGCAAACACACTGCTGTTACTGCAATTTGCACCATTACCGCTTGAGCTGGAGGAACCGCTGGCTGTTGCGATGGTTAAGTTGGCCGCCACCGGTTGTTGCGGTGGTATTCCGGAGGGGTTTTCCGGCGCTTCTGCCACAGGAAACAAACATCAAATTAAAAAAGAACAGAAAAAAGAAATACTAAGTAGTAAAAGCTTAGAGATTGATTATTAACCAAGCTTTTCATAACGGACTTTTTGTTACTTGTAAAGTTTGAATACATAAACTACTTGAAGTTAGAAAACTTTAGGAAGTAAAAGCAGATGCAATCATGGAGTCCTTTCTTTCTATCTCACTCCAAACTCTCTTTTTAATTCCTTTTTCCACTTTCGATTTTTGAGCTCCTTTATCAATTGCGATTTCCGACTGTTCATCCATCGACCAAAATATATTAATTAATTAATAATAATAACTAATAAACTTGGACAAGAGACGAAGGTCATACATACTATGAAAACCTATACTATTTCTCGCCCTTATCTCTAACCTATATAGCTAATCTCTAGATGAAAACAAGGTCAGTAATCGACAAAATCGGAGGCTATAACAAACAATAACGCCAAAGCATCACATGAAAACAGCGTTCCAAAGAATCCAAAAATATATAATTTAAGAAAAGAAAGAAAAAAAAAAAAGAGAGGAAGACTTAGGTGATTTGATTCAATCCCAAAAACAGTGTCTCATGACTTCCTTGTTTTGGACTATACAATTTCGACAATGTATTAGATTACGTTACCTGAGCTTTGAATGGACAGAACAGGAGAGAGAACACCAGTGGATGGAGTGAGAGGAGGTGGAGGTGGACTAGAAGACGACAAAGCAACACTCTCAACCTTCAACATTTCCTAAAAGAGAATATTATCTTAAATATTCTAAGGAACAATTTAAAAAATTAGTTAAAAGTTAACTTTTAATACATTTTGAAATCCGTCACTTCTCAAAAATAAAAAATAAAAAAAAATAAAAATCAATTTTTAATCAACTTTTCAAATCACCCTTAATTAATTATTACATCATTATACTTGAGATGTAGTAGTGAACCCCATTAAGAATGATTTGATGTTTTGATCTTGGTGTTACATTTTTTTTTTTTTATTAAGGCCTAATTTGGGAAGACTAAATAAGTGCACTTTTTGATTTTTTTGTATTATGTGTAGAAAAAGTAGAGAGGGGATGTTGATGGA